AGTTACTGAAGGCACACAAAGACAGCGTTGATTAAAATATATCTAATTACGCTCGCGTCGGTTGTTTATTGTTTTATTTACCATTTGACTGTGAAACTTGGAAAAGATTTTAATCGTCCAATTACAAGCAGCCAATTTATTGAAAAAAAAACACAATATGTTCATTCTGTTGCAATAAATTGTCGAGTTCAAAGCGCCAGCGCGAAAATAACATCGCCAATCGTTAACATATCATTTTTATCAAAACCGTGCCATCAGTAATGGTTCTTAATGATCTTTGTGTTTAAGTGCCGCAGAGCTGCCAACTTACCGCGTTATTTAAGAGGAATTTTCGGAGCGGCACTCGACAGTGTTGCCAAAACCGCGCCACGAAAAAATTAAAAAAGAAAAGTACTTCCTAAAATACGAGCGTGCTTGTCCGAGCGAATAAAAATGTGCCGAATTCACGCAGCAGGACGTCCGTTCGAACATAAAATTGAGAAATGACAGGTCCCGCAGGAATTTATTAATTCATTCAGTAACCTTTATCCCAGTAACTACAGCTCATTGATTCCTGCTAATGGATATTTATTACCTTCATAATATATGTTCCGGGTAATAACGTTCCAGATAAGTTAACACGAAATGTCAGGACGAAACGCGCCTCTCAATTTAACAAAGGATCGAAGACCGGCGATAAATCTCCTGCGGCGTGATGCAGCAGGATTCGGTCCTGCAGCGACAGTTTTGCGCTATTAATACGGTGAAATCCTGCAACTCATCGGATTCTTTCAGCACGCACCACGGACTACCGCTTCCAAGATTCCTGTTTATACTTTTACGTCAGACAATCACCAATTAAGAAAACATAAATCGCATCTGCTCGAGGGAATTGATTGGTGGCAATAACACAAATAAAGTGAATTATAATCAGCTATTGAACTTTCGATGACTGATTCCATTTAATTATGAAATAAATTTCGTTTTGTTGTAAACTGTTGGGAATGTGTGTTTACGGATTGTGTAATCGCGACGACAGCGCCAGTGCTAAAAATAATTTTTTTTTTCGCTAAAAAAATACACAGACCAGTCACTGCCCTTTACGCGATGAAATCAGATTGTTGAACTTGCATTGAAATTTTTTCGGGGTATTTTTAAAGCGGGACCTTGCATTGGCAAAGAGACGGTTTTATTTTAGACGGTTGGCAACAGGTTAGAAGGGACGGGGGATTTCGCGACGCCAAATTTACAACGCGGATAGGCACATTTTTCAAGTTACTTAATTTATTTCGTGTCGTACAACAAAACATTTTTGTAGTGGTGAAAATCACGTTGTTGATTTATTTATTTAAAGCTTTGTACAATTTTTCGTGATGTCCAAAGTTTACAATTTTTGCATGTGACAATATTGAATAACTGCAAGGTCAAAAATCTTATCGAGAGTGTAGTCAACAATGAGTGATGATTTAATCCATAATTAAGATATTATCAACACAATTTGCCAGACGTGCTTAATATGAAAATTCCTGCTGCACCTATTTGCTAGCTGACAAATCGAAGCTGAAGGACTGTTCTTAGTACAGAATTCATACATTTTAAACATTATTATTGTTAAAAAAAACACCAGGAAGACGTTTTACTAGTTCTCAGTGATACTTTTCCCCAAATAACACAAAATTCTATTTACTAAAATCATACTAATTATATTACGTCGTCAACACACACAGCTTCTGTAATAACTAGTTTTACCAATTGCTCAATCCTTGCTAAATGTTCTTTGTTAGAATGCAACTGCAAGTTGACGAAATTATAAGTAATCAGAAAACAATAATGTGTGTATTGACGTATTTAAACTCCAATTCTCGAATTTCTGCTAATTGAATTACTTTTATTGTTAAAGTACATTGATTAAAAAAATTGTTGATACATTTTTGCAGGAAGTTTCTAAAAATATACCAGCTGCAACGAAAATCTTTGTAAAACGTCTTGAATTAAACTACGTCAGACATGTAGGTGTTGTCTTTCAACAAACACCGTTACGAATTATTGAGTTCCTGCGGAAACTTTGTTTTACGTCAGCTTTAAATTACAGGTAGGCGAGTTTTGTGTAAATTTAGAGCGAGATCTGGGATCTGCATCAATTTTGCATTTTTTTTTATTTTTTTTTTCGTTTCTGATGTTTTAAATTCAAATTGATATTAACAAAAAACAAGATGGGGCAAGAGCTCACTATACAAGACAAAATTTGAATATGCTTTACGAATTTTTTGGTTATTTTTTAATTATCCACCTAGATCATGTGATTTGAGTCCTTCTGATTTCATTTTGTAGCCTTATTTAAAAAAAATCATTATTTTGGACAACGAATTAACAATTTGGAAGAACTTCGACAAAGAGGTAAAAGAAAATTTTACTTAAATTAATATTGGAATTTTTGCGAAACTTTGGATGCTTGGGGTAAATATTCCAAGGCGGATTCATAAAGTACAAGCACAAGATTATGTTGATAATATAAATTGTTACTGTTTAATAAAAATTGACAGAAACAGACGGCTGACAGACGAAAACGCGACACTTACTTTTTTTGTATTCTAGAGGCCATAAACCGTTCAAAAAACATGAAAGTAGCCATTCATCGGATGCATCATATTATAATACTTGATTAGCTTACGCTCTGGAAGTAATCGGGTAATTATTCTTGAATGCTAGCGAGGTGCTGTACTGATGGGACCAAGCTGGAGGTCGAAATAGTCGGAACATTGTTAAGGAAATCTTAGGTTATCTACAAATTGAGACCACCACATTTTACGACTTATCCCACAGATAAAAAACTATACAACGACGACATAGAAGTTGTACAAGTTTTACTATGACCCGAAAAGATCGACTTTGTATTTGTTGGTCGTATTTTTTTTAATTGTCCGAGAAATATTACTTTTTACTTACCGAGCATAAGCTACGGAAGTACCTACTGTAATAAGTTCCATCCGAAAAATGGGTGCTTTTTGATTTTCTCGACGTTTCATGACCCCTACAATACGAAAAAGTAGGTCTCGCGTGTCTGTCTGTCGTCTGTGTCAATTTTTATTAGATAGGTAATCTCCGAATCTACTGAGTCGATTGATGTAAAATTTAATACGTAGGTTAGCAATATCGTGTAGATGGTAAAACTTTAATCAAGAATTGTCTGATTATCCCCACCCCCAATGGGATGACGTCAACTCCAAAATTTACAATAGTAAATGTTATTCCAATTTTAAGAAATAACATACTTCTGCACTTATGCTTTATAAAATCCGTGTTGAATTTTTACCCTAAGCATTTTCATATTAAAAAAAAGCGTTTGCTCTGAAATCTTGCAACCCTCTCATGGTGAATCCGTTTATCTCATCACAAAAATTTATGACGTCATCGCATTTGTAAAGCCTACCGAAAATATGCAGAATATGATGGGCGCTCATATTTTTAAAAATCTCTTATATAGAGTAACTAAAAAAATAATGAATTAGGATATCTACCTATTGTACTGACCAAATGAAGAATCTCATTTTCCCGATAATTTGAAACTATTTATGACATCACAAAATTTTGTTACGGAAAAACTCACCTAAAATATACGCATGGCATGCTTTTTTTACCTGTACTTAAACGATCCATACCTATCTCTTTCTTACAGGGTACGTCATTTGGTAAAATTAGTCTTATCTTAGCAGGTACTAGCCCCGCCCACCCACCCTACCGTTTCTCAGAAGGTATGTTATTTGCCAAAATCGGTCTATTTTTAGCAGTTACTAGCCCCGCCCACCCACCCTCTCTTTTCCTAGGGAGTATGTCATTTGCCAAAATCAGTCTTATCTTAGCAGGTACTAGCCCCGCTCACCCACCCTACCGTTTTTCATAAGGTATGTTATTTGCCAAAATCGCGCTATTTTTAGCAGCTACTAGCCCCGCCCACCCACCCTCTCGTTCCTTAGAGGGTATGTCATTTGCCGAAAATCGGTCTTATTTTAGCAGGTACTAGCCCCGCCTTCTATTTTCTTAGAAGGATCTCATTTGTCAAAATCAGTCATATCTATCCGAAGAAAAGAGAGGGTAAGTGGGCGGGGCTAGTACTTGTTAAGATAAGACTGATTTTGGCAAATGAGATAACCTTGAAGAAAAGAGAGGGCGGGTGGGCGGGGCTAGTACCTGCTAAGATAAGACTGATTTTGGCAAATGAGATATCCTCGAAGAAAAGAGAAGGCGGGTGGGCGGGGTTACTACCTGCTAAGATAAGACTGACTTTGGCAAATGAAATACCCTCGAAGAAAAGAGAGGGCGGGTGGGCGGGGCCAATACCTATTAAGAGCCTCTAGTGTATTTTCTTATAATAATTTAATTAAATTTCTTTCAAAGGCCAGCGAAGTTCTTTGTAAATGATTTTAGATTAGACCAATTTTTTACGGAATGAAGAACAAATGAAAATATATATATACTACCCAGTAAACACAGTTACGTCGTAACGATGTTAATGCCACTTAACTCTGTCTACGATCTTGTTAGCTGTTACATCCCAAACTGCGTACATTTGCTTTCCCTGTGCTATGTAATGTAATCAACAGTGACCCATGCTTGTAACATACTGGTGACATCCACACTGTTTCAGACTAGAGACGTGCTCGCTGGTACATCATCATAACGTTGTGTTAGTATGTCGCTAGATTCTCTATATTTTCATGTATCTGTTACGTTTTATTTTAAACGCCAATATAACGTATTAAATGGACATAGACGTTACGTATATATCGCAACATCGTAAACATATGACTCTCAGTATATTTTATTAACATGATCTATGCGATATGAATAGGCATTTCAGAAAATCTAGTTACCATTTAGGGATATGGATATGGAGAGTAAAATTTAGAGCTTACAGTAAATTATTATTTTATTCAATGTTTGAAAAAATATAATATGTAATAAGTAATAAAATATAAAAATTAATATAAATTCATAATATAAATAAATAAATATATATATGATTTCCTAATTCGAAAATAATACAATATAATTTACACTTAAAAAAAGACACAGAAACTATAAACTGTCGTTGTTTTTTCTTTCTTCAGGCGTTGACTAGAATGCCGTAGCCACTCTGAGCAGCGTTGTTCTACTTCTTTTTCTATTGCGGAATGGGTCTTCATTGTAATTTCTTCAAAAATAAAAATTGTAATAATTATATTTATTGCAAAAAAAAATACCTTTCATAATATTCATTGTTTTTGTCCCAGCCATTTTGGAATTTTCCTACCGAACAAACAAGCTACAGCAAATTCACTGATTTTTTTTTTTTTTTAATATACGCCCCTCATTGTTCTTTTTCCCATTACCACCTATCTGGGACAATAGCAGTCCCTGAAATAATAAAAGAAGAAAATATTTTTATGTGTAGTTATCGAGTGACTCTGAAATAAGTTCGGAAAATAAAACCACAACATCACGAAGTAGAGAAAATTTTAAGTAATTTCTTTTATCTAGTCCTAATTCAGGGGAAAAAATATCAAGATCTACACCTCATTCAGTGCCATTTGTTTTCATCTAAGCAACACACAGCAAAAATAAAGAAAAAACTTAGTCACAATGGAAACTGAATAAATCATTGCCGCATGATTTACATTTAACAAGATGTTCCTTATTTGTTTCTTGAAACTGGAGCAGCAATTTAATTACTTTGAATCCGTGTGACAATTAAAGGATTTTTTTTTCCGAATCTATTTGGAAGTCACCGCGTATGTATAACATACAGGGTGCTTCACTATAAGACTTTTCTGCAACCCACTATGTATGTAACGTGTTAAGCGAAATGTGTCATGTTTAGTAGGTGACTAAAAAGTGTTATAGTATTACAGGCATCTACCTGTATATAATATCCAAAATTATGTTATATGTAAGTACATATAAATATATTTAGTCCAGTCATTTTAGCATAAAAAAGGGATCAACCTCGGAATGAGAGACAATAAGCTGAATTTTTGTATACGCCTTAATTTTGGCGTTCTAAAAGTTGTCTCAAAAGTCTCATAAAATCTCGTGTCTGCGTCGTAAGTTATTCAAGGTCAAAGGTCAAGATAAACAGTTTTTTGCAATTATCTCAGTTTCTATTGCTCCAATGATGTTAACAATTATTATCATAATTGTAGAGCACAAAATTTGGAACAAATTTGATTTGAAATATTTTTTCATGTGCTCAATCGTTTTTGAGATAGAGGACAGTGAGCGCGTAGCGCTCGTCCATACGTACTGTAATGCAATCAACCGTGAATATCTGTGAATACTACCTTGAATTTTGAATAATTTGTATTATTAATCAATTAATACATTGTATTTAATAACATTTTACATATTTTCAATATATTCATAGAATAATACTTACCTACTTTGTGTAATTAAAAACTCATTTAATGAAATATTTATTGTATATCTCAATTTATTTATATCTTTAAAATGTGTAAGTTTTTAAATACTTATTTTTCTATCATGATTATAACTAGAAGGTCTGGAAACAACAATTCAGGGCACCGAAGATGACGACGATGAAACAGAAATTCCCGAACGTCCAGAAGATGACGGTGAAGAAGAAGAAAATTGATACTTTTGTTCTTTAAATTATTAAAAATTTATAGATTTTCACTACAATTCAATTTCAATCGTAAGAAATGTACAGCTGCTGAATAAAGATAAAATTAAAATATATTAACTCGTTTTACTTCCTTAAAGTTTACTTTGAAAAAATTAATATAACTTTAAGATATATAATAATCTAACCTAAGATATACCTACAATAAATATGTCATTTAAAGAGTTTTTAATTACACAAAGTAGGTAAGTATCATTAAATAAATGTATTGAAAATATGCAAAATGTTGTTAAATGCAATGTATTAACTGATAAATAATACAAATTTTTCAAAATTCAGGGTAGTATTCACAGATATTCACGGTTGATTGCATTACAGTATGTATGGATGAACGCTGCGCGCCCACTGCCCTCTATCTCAAAAACGATTAAGTGTATCAAAAAATGTTTCAAATAAAATTTGTCCCAAATTTTGTGCTCTACAATTATGATAATAGGTGTTAACATCATTAGAGCAATAGAAACCGAGATAATCGCAAAATAATGTTTTTCTTGACCTTTGACCTTGAATAACTTACGACGCAGACACGAGATTTTATGAGACTTTTGAGACAACTGTTAGAACGCTAAAATGAAGGTATATACGAAAATTCAGCTTATTATCTCTCATTCCGAGGTTGATCGCTAATTTGACTGGACTAATTGTATTTTTTTAACTTACAAAGAAACCTGCTTGTTGTAGTAGGCAGAGATAATCTTCTAATTCCTCAAAATTTGTTTACTTGTGGTCTTGGCGGCATATCTTCTATTACTGTTTTCTTTTTGATTTGTCACATTTGATGACGTTTTCATATTGGAGATTTGTTCACTCGTTTCCTTTAGAATTTCTTTTATTTCGCACATATTTTTTGTATTTGTTTCAAGTCTAGAGTAAAATTATGTTCATTAGCAACTAGTTCATAAAAAATTGCAGTAACATACCTTTGCAACATGTTATGGCAAAGCGCCTCACTCTCAAAAACAATCACCGTAAGTTCTTCAAAACCAGCGGGAGAATCTTCAGTGATTAATGGTGGTATTTCCAGCTTGTCTGAAAAAACTGTTGTTGTTATTTACGTACAGTTATCAAAAACAACAGAAGCATGTAAAAATTAAAATGATTACTTCATTAGAATTATATTAACTTACCTAGTGTAAATTCAACCCACGCTGAATGGCACAATTTCACAAAACTGCATTAAAAATGAAGTGAGTTACGGATTCACGAGAAAGGTTCGGTGGTTGTAAACGAAATGGCTAAATGGAATTCGACAGCTTCACTGTGAGTGTGAAGTGCAATAACCATAAATGCGGAAAAAAGGGATCGTCCGACTCATAGACAAACCAAACCAACAAAGGTCCGACTGCACCCCCCAAAACATCTGGTGGATAGTAAATGCAGAAGTTGAGCGTTATTTTTTCATTAGATAAAATAAATTGAATAAAATCAAAATTAACCACTCTCTAGTTTTTTTGCTACCCATCATCGCTTTATAAACGTCTTTATAAAATCAAAATTCGACGAATGAACTCTTCAAAACCTTGTATCGTTTCAGGGACAATGGGCAAAGAATTTTTATGGCTTTGTTTGTGTCGTTGGGTCTTCCCTCTATTACCCCAGATGTTTAAGGTGACCAGACTTTCCGATGTGATCGGAACTGTATCGATTTCAATACTCTAATAATTCCTATTTCAAATTTCGTCTAATAAATGTTCCGATTAAAACATTCGTTCCGTGAATGTTCCGATTTCTATATAAATCTGATAAGAATAAAGATAAATCCTCGGATAAATCACTAATTTTCATGAATAGTACTTTTATTTTGTGAAAAATTGGGAACAAAACTTGTATCGATACGGTTGTCAGCACTGTTTTAAATGTCAGCATATGTCAGTACTGTTAGTATATTACAACTAAAAATATTCAAAGCAGTTATATATCAGATTACGATGGAAATGGAAACTAATGTTCCGATTTCGGACTTTTGAAATCTGGTCACCTTACAGATGTTCTATTTATAATTTGCCAAGCAGGTACTTACAAAATAACATTTCAAGTAAACAAGTTTACAGAAATAATTCTTAGAAATTATTACAATGAAAAAAACTTGTCTTTGGTATATTTCTAATAAAGCCGTTGTATTTTTCGCTCTGAATATAATTATTAATTAAGCATTACGAACTCACTGACGAAGGTCACTTTTTAAAGAATACGACGACCCACATCTAATTGACCATATAATCTTTAACAATAAATTTCAAATAATACCATAGTGGTTTTTTTAAATTTTGATAAGGTGTTGTAAAACTATTTCTGTTTCTGTTTTCATTCCAGGTACTGTATTTACGTGGGCAAAGGATGCCGCACGTGGGATTTTAGGGGCGGAAACGTATACCTGCTTAGATACTGTAAATACAGTGGTGTCCAACGAAGACAACAACAGAAACATACCCGATGTATTGATTATTATTAGAGAGCGGATTTTATGAAATTTGCATATCCGTTATTTTTTGCATATAAGTCTTGATATTTAATATGTGAACGAATCATGCTAATTAAAAATGAATACATAGTTTGTTTATATCGTAGATTTCGATCCGATCGAATTTCGAGGCGATCGAAATTGTCAAACTCACTTTAATCTACGGGCGTTTATATCACGGAAAACAGTCCGTTCGATCTACTGATTTGTAGTTTGAAATTGGTTTGAGTTTGACGTTTGGAGAAAGATAATAGTGTAACATTATTTCTTTTTATCTGTGAAGTGGTCAACATAAATAATAAACCTATAAAAGTTCAAGCCCGTTTACATCGCATCTTCAAGCATTTGAATCCGTTTTAGATCCGATCGGTTCGATTCGATCCGACTAGTTTGTCGGATCGAATTTTGATAGTCAATCCGCTTCAACATTCGATCTGCAGCGTTTATACCATTAGTTTCAATCGGATCGGACTGAGTCAATCGGCTTGAAATCCACGATATAAACTAAGTAACAGCTATAAAAAAATTGCATATTTGCATATATTTACCTTCTGCTGCATATTTCACGTAACGGGTCCATATTTTGCATTTTTATCAATTTTTGTGCTACTTTGAAAAAAAAAATGCCATTCGATCGGCATTTTTCTAGAAAAACGAAATTTCATTAATCATATTGCAAATATTGTCCTAAGCTTCAAATAACTGGGGAAAGCTTTGGGTTTTATAGTAGTTTCGAGGAACCACCGGGTGTTAAGCCATCCTTACAGGTAAATTCGGGTCCTAATTACTTTTGGAAATATCGTTCATTTCAATATTTTTGTTCGTTGTATTAATGGTGTTTTATGATGGTCGAAGGGACGTTATCCTATTATTTTTCATCGTGAGTTTGCATTTAAGTATTTAAAGCGATAGAGATGTGTGTCAATGTGTAGATAACTCAAATTAATTTATGAATTAAACCTTTTCCTGAACTTATTCTTCAAGAAGGAACTGTGTTTTGTTGTGACTGCTCTAATCCGATAAGTATTTTTACATCTGTGGACGCAGTTTTTCTATTTACAAATACATACTTTAGAATCACCGGAAAAATTTTTGTTAGAATATTTCGAAAAATATTTAAAAATAAATTGTTACCAAAATAGTAATTAAATAGTCGATTACTACTATTTTTTAATTCGTTCTGTTTACAAATACATATTTATTTTTGAATATAAGAATATTATCTTAAAAAATGTCATTTATTTGTCAGTGAGATCTAATTAAACACTTTGCAATGTGATTTATGTATTTTTTGTAATAAAAGGTGAGGTGTTTTTGCAATTTGTAAATAAATTTAGTTCGGTTATTACGCTTTTTTTTATTTTTGGAGCATATGCAATTGCATATCTCTGCATATATTAAGAAAGTTATTGCATATTTGCATAAATTTGATGCTTGTCATATGATCATATTTCCCAAAATTTTGCTGCATATTTTCCGCTCTCTAGTTATTATACATTTTCCGCTCTCTAGTTATTATACATACACTCTATTACCGACATTAAAAAAAGTCTACACTATTTCGTCATATCTGCTGCTTTATTATCAGTTTTCAGTTAGTTACATATTGGATATGAAATTAAGTGAATTTTTTGAATAAATAATAATTTAAAGATCAACCACGAAAATACTCAATTATAATTATACATTATACATTACCAGTTTATTTTACAGCCCAAGATTACATTGGAAAAATCTAAACTTTTGAAAATTTAGTGTTAAACAGATATACCTATAACTGAGTGCGAAAGTCAATACACAAAACTCGATGATCAATTATTGTTTCGTATTCAAATTATTATTTATTTTCCTTACGATGAAAGTGAAGAAATTATTTAATTCATTTTTATTTAAGAACGATATCGCTGACCTTGAAATAGATTAGTTTTTTAATTTCGATTTTTTTCTTTTTGTTGCTTTTGTTGCCGATCAACATATTTTGCATTAGAATTAATAAAATAATGAAATATATCATTTTATTTTTCGAGCTCATTTCAAAATTCTGTATATGTGTAATTGTTCCTTTTTGGCAGTGACGCATAGGCAGAGGTTAAAAAATAATGTCTCATTACTAGTCTTAATTCGTATTACCTGTTAGATCGAACATTTTTTAATTCTGATCATAAACTATGTGCATTAAGTCTTTTGTTCTGTTTTATAAAGCGCAGGTCGTTATGGACAAATAAAAATAAAATTATAAATAAATATAATTACAGGAAATATAATATGAAAAAAAAAATTAAGAGCAACTCACTATTGGCGTCATCTCGGTTGTGCAAGATTTAAGACAGGGAAGAAATTTCTTTTTTTAAGACTCAGCATCTTTTGTTTATGAATATACTATTTACTTGCAACACAAACATAAATAATAAATATAAAATAGAGCTATATAATACTCGATATGTATGTTTTTAAATGTTTTTTGCTATTGCCCTGTCAGAAACGTTAATTTTCGATTTAACATGCCATTTTGTAAAATCAACTGAAAAACACTTTGCATAATTAACTAATAAAAATAAAATATTCCGAAGCATGTATATATATATATATATTAATCAGATATCTGGTAACTACAGTTAACATTACTTATTGGTTACATAACCGTAGTACTCCATTGTGATGTTACAAGGCTTACCTGCCAACTATATCGCTGCGACACAATAATGAGATATCTAGTAAATGCAGTTAACATTAGGTGTTAGTTACATAACAGGGGTACCACAGTGTGATGTTCAAATGCTTATATGCAAGCTATATCGCTGCGACATAATAATGAGATATGTAGTAAATGTAGTCAACATTACGTGTTTGTTACATAACATGAGTACTCCATTGTGATGTTATATAGCTTACGTTCCAGGTATATCGTTAAGACATAATCATGCGATGTACTTATTGTTCTTTTGTGAGTACATACCTGTCACGTCAACATCACAACTGGTTTACTGGGTAAGAATAGAATCTAGGATGTGAAAAAAGTAAAATGCACCTGACCTGACTTGACCTATTGTCCCAAATATACAAATTTTAATCATTTCTGTATATCTATAAAAACTAAGAAAGTACATTTCAACAATTTCGTTTTTTATATACGTATAAAAAATTTTATACCGAGCTGACCTGACCTGACCTGACCTGACCTGACCTGACCTGACTTGTCCTAACGTGACCTGACGTGTCCTGACTTCTCTATTGTCCCAAATATACAAATTTTAATCATTTCTGTATATCTATAAAAACTAAGAAGGTACATTTCAACCATTTCGTTTTTTATATACGTATAAAAAATTTTATACCGAGCTATTTTGTCGAAACTGTAAAAATTTCTGTACTTCAATTAGCGATTTTGGAAAAACAGTAGGAATTTCCGAAGAAACGAAGCCGAAAATCTAAATCGAAATCTATAAGAAAATGTTTCCAGCTAATTTTCGGAAATAGTTGAAAAATGGTCGAAAATGTCAAAAGTGCTAAAGTCAGTCTCATCTTATCAAATACTAGCCCCGCCCACCCACCCTCTTTTTTCTGAGAGGGTATGTCATTTGCCAAAATCAGTCTTATCTTAGCAAGTAATAGCCCCGTCCACCCGCCCTCTGTTTATTTGGAAGGTATGTCATTTCCAAAAATCAGTATTATCTTAGCATGTACTAGCCCCTCCAACCCCCCTCTTTTCATTCCATCGACTAATTTTATTTCTGTTCAGTATAAGATCATTCATTTCATTCACATCGGATAAAATCAATCACTGAAAAGGAGACAGGGCGGGTGGGCGGGGCTAATTATGTTCTGCTGTCGAGTGGGAGTGGAAAATAATAATAGAATCTAGGATGCGAAAAAAGTAAA